ATCATGGATTACTACTCAGCCATAAAAAGAAATGAAATAATGCCATTTGCAGCAACTTGGATGGAACCGAAGATCATTATCCTAAGTGAAGTATCTCAGGAATGGAAAACCAAACACCACATGTTCTCACTAATAAGTGGGAGCTAACGGATGGGTACACATGGGCAAAAAGCAATACAAAGGACACAAGAGACCAAGAAGAGAGGCAGGCAGGAGAGTGAATGTGGGATAAAAACTTACCTGTTGGGTACAATGAACACTATTCTGATGATGGGCATACCAAAAGTCCCAACTTAAACATTATACAAGATATCCATGTAACAAAAACACTTATACGCCCTTAGCGAATACCTTGAAATAACAACATAAAGAAAAGGAAAAGCATTATACTCAAAGCTAATGGCATGAGCAAAGGGCCTGATATAGCATGTTTCAGGAATTGAGAGCATGAACAATCCATCCCATCTTGATTTTCACAAGCCAAAACTTTACTTCAGAATATTTTATTACCAATTTATTAATCTCTGAATTTGAACACCGTAACCAATTTACAGATGAACTGTATTCTAAAAGTTTGGTGAAAAAATTAACTGTTTAGAAGGAAAACCATTTTTTTCTATGGCAAAAATGGTATAAATAATAGTACCATGAAGCCCATTTAAGCCAAAATGTAATCACTATATCCTCAATGTCTATCTCAGTACTCTGACTGTTCTCCTTGATTGAAGTATGTCCTCAACGAATATTTTTTAATGCACGAAATATACTTCTGCATTATAAGTAATTAACAAATGCAAGCAAGATAAAGCAGAAGCAATTTTTAATTTTATTTTATACACTGAAGATGGAGGACGGTTTACTGAGAGAAAGATTTAGATCATCAATGGGGACTTTGTGTAAATTCTAAATAGAATTTCTATGCACACGAAAGAGTTCTTTAGAGGTTAATGGCATTGACTCTTTTTCTTTCTTTCTTTTTTTTTTTGGAGACAGGATCTCACTCTGTCAACTGGGCTGGAGTGCAGTGGTGTCATCTTAGCTCACTGCAACCTCAAACTTCTCGGCTCAGGCAATCCTCCAGCCTCAATCTTCTGAATAGCTGGATCTACAGGCATGCACCACCACACTCAGCTAATTTTTGTTTCTTGTAGAGACGGGCCCTCGCTGAGGACTAAACTCTGAACTTTTTCTTTTGCCCAAATTCCTTTCTAAGGGGGCCTAGTGAGTCATGCCTACAAATGATAAAATCTCAGTAAACAGGTTTTTATGATGTGGTTTACTTCCCAACCTGATTCCGGTATAGCATGCATGAAAGATAAAAGACTCTTATCTTAACTCAAGCATTCCTTCCCCTGATTCCTGGTCTTTTGGACAAAGCCTAACTCTTTCAGCCAGTTGTCAACTAAAGAATCCCTAAACTCACCTATGATTTGTAAGCCCCCTGCTTCCAGATGTCCCACCTTTTCAGGCCAAACCAATGTATGCCTTCCATGTATTGATTTATGACTTTACCTATAATTCCTGTAATTCCTGTATTCCTAAAATGTGTAAGAGGAAACTGTAACCCAGCCACAGCAAGTCTGCTTGCTCAAGGCTTTTTGGGCGTGTCTCTGGGCCATTACCCTCAAATTTGGCTCAGAATATTACCTTTTTAAATTATTTTACAGAGTTTGGCTTCTTGCCTGACATTGCGCAGGCTGGTCTTGAATTGCTGACCTCAAGCAATCCTCCCAACTTGGCCTCCCAAAGTGCTAGGATTACAGGAGTAAGCCACCATGCCCAGCCCAGCATTGACTCTTTTTTTAGCCTAATTTTACTTTAATACTTGCAGTTTTGTTTTTCCCTGGTATACTTGTATTACTACCTCTACTCTTATGCCCCAGGAGCAGGAACAGGCTTCCTAAGTGAAATAGTGAGATAAAGTAAGGGAGAAGGGGTTTGGGTTTTTTGTTTTTCCTTTAGCAATTAAGTGGGAATTGAAAAGAGGAAAAGGAGAAACTAAAGGATGGGGTGAGGGCTCACGTGTGGGTGTGTCCCCAAATGAGGGACAGAGAGAGCACCGCAGCCTGTGGGGGGCCTAACTGCAATGAGAGCACTGAGAGGCAGAGGAAAGGGACCGTGGCAGGGACAAAAATCTCTCCGGGGAAGAACGTAATAGAAAAAAAGGGAGGTAGATGAGACCATTACTCCACTTGTCATAAATGGTGTGATTAGTCAAAGATATTTAATGGCTTCCCATGACTAAAGGGCAGTTAGGAGATTCAGCTATTCTCAAGGACACGAAAGTCACATGTTGTAAATTCAAGATGTAAGAAGTACCTGTATTATCTCTAGTAATAATCTTTACTAGATGATTTCTGAATGTCTGTACTATATCCACCAGTACATTATAGATATGACATAAAGGGGCTGCAACAAGTAATAATGATAGCTTTTATTGCATTTGTTATTTGCAATATGACGTGAAGTGCACTAAAGCCTTTTTCTTTTTCTTTTTTTTTTTCTTTAGCTAGGAAACACTGGAGAGTGCACTAAAGTCTTTATATTATTTGTTAGCGAATGTATTCTTCACAGACACTTTGGGGGCCAGGACTAGCACCCCTATGCCAAAGGTAAAGGAAATCAGGCTGAGACAGGGGCTAAAGCTACAAAGCAAAAATGTGGCACAGAGCCCTTTTTTAATAGGAAATATTCATACATTAATAGTGACAATCTCTCTTTTTTCCTCATGCTTCACCCCTTGCTCTAAGTCTTAGGGGCATGAGGGTGCTGAGTACATAGCGCCCCCTGGGGATATCAGTTAACCTAGTTCTGTGTTTCCTCTTTTTGGTCTGATCAGTTGCCTGTGTCACCATCTGAGTCAATCCAACCCGGTGCTTTTATCTAGCTTTTACTAGCTCGTGGTGTGTGTTTCCAGTGTCATTCATCTTTAGTTCTCTTTTTTCTGACAACTGCATGCATGCCTACGTTTTGACAGCTGACATTCCAAGGAAACATGGTCATCCCTTCCTTCTTGAGACTTTAGTCTCTGACCAGTTTTTGGAATGAGCCCTCTTTGGTATGGGACATGCTGTTGTATTTTAATCCAGTAACCTGCTAATCCTTTTATTGTAAAATGGGGCTGGATTCTTTTAAAGGATTTTATTTAATAGCCATCATATTTAATTGA